GGGGGGGGGGGGGGGAGGGGAAGGGGGGTGAGGAACAAGAAGGAATCGCGTGCAGAATGCATGGACAAAGGGTAATGAAATATTCAGGAACCGCGATGACGCCCTAGCTTTGCACTAGATTTCCCCCGGGACGGGTTATGATCATTATTACGCATGCATTTCCGACCGCACGAGACCACGTCGAGAGGTTATTCAAACGGATGGCAAACAAGACAGAAAGAGAAATCTCGGAACGGAAGTTCTCGTTCCCTTCGACCCTTCGACGATGGTTCCCGGCGACCCGCTCCGCCCGCGATCGCCGGAAGAGTTTGCTCGTCTCGAAGGGACAAAGGAAGGTTCTCTCGAGCAGCTGCCGGAGAAGCCATACCCGAAACCGTGATATTTGTGCACCGAGAGATGGGGGGTCGGGGGAAACGCGGAATGCAACGAGTCGAGCTGCCTCGCACGAACGTGGGAACGGTAAACTCTTTCCCTCCGAAGGGGCTATAGAGTTGCAGCCGATGCAGGAGTCTGTTGTGGACGCGGCTCGTATTTGCAGAGAAGCCCGTTTCTTCCGATCCGGGTTTCCCTCGGCCGACGTCCGAGTGCCTCCTCGTCTCGAGTGTCTCCCCTTCGTTTCTCGCGGGCCCGTATTTGCAGCCGACTTCGGCTAACACCTCGTCACTCGTAGGGTCATTTTTTGTATCGCATATTTTTTCCTCTCGGAAAACGTACGCGATTCGTCACGACGCGAGGGGGCGAATCGCACCCTCGTCGAAATCGGCAAGATGTCGCATCCCGATACGAGGTCGCAAATCCGTAGTTTTGGGCCTGGAGGCCGCGACAGCGAGCAGCCGGTCGAGCGCATTCGTGTCCTCGAAAATTCACCGAATCTAGGAAGGGGGCACATCACAGCCCTTTCCGACCCGAAGCATTCGTATTTGAAGGCGATATAGTGTCGAGCTGGGAATTTCAGGATGCACCAGAGGTAGTCGAGAAAGTTCTACCGCAGAATGAGTCTGTCTCGTGTCGAAAACTTTCGACCGAATTGGAAACACGGCTCGTAGCTGCCATTCGTCTGGGTGACTGCGTCTCCGACTGTCGGTCCTTCTCTCATTTTTCTAGTCTCATTAAACACCTTACGGATTCCAATTTTGGATACCCCGAAACTCCTAGCTCGACGCTTCGGGTCGAAACGGTCTGCCATGCGCCCTTCATCGATGTGATGAATTATCGAGAGCACTCAGGCACACGGCCAGCTGCTCACCGTCACCACGTCGTAAGGGACCCACCGCTACGGCTTCGCGGCGTCGTATCGGGAGGTGACATCTTCACATCCTACCTATCTAGACGAGAGTACGATCAGTCCTTACGTAATCGACCCGGCATCTGTCGGTTTCGAAGGGAAGGTACGTCTCACGGCTAAGAGGATCGTATGAAGTTTTGGGTTTCTGCGGTTGCTATCGAAAGGATGGGGATTCCGAGGGGAAAGGCATTTCATTTCGTGCGTTCTTATGTGCCAACATAGCGGGAACAGCTTACATTTCCTCGTGCAATCCAGCTTGCAGTAAAAAAAAAATCGATGCGACTAAAGCTCACAAAGAATGATGCATTCGGAAGAAGGTCCGAAGGAGTCCATTTCCTACGACCGGACTCGCGATAAAGCAGGTCGTAAAAGCACGGTACACATCGGAAGTGGACGCGAGATCGAATCGCGCGGTGTGCATTACTTCACTCCGGGGCAACCGTAAAGCATCAGAGAATACGGTTCGAGATGGCATGGAAGGTATACGAGGCGTAGGGGAAAATCCATCATCGGGGAGCAAACAGGTCTAGGCCCGGACATGAGAAAAATGACACGATCGCGTCATCGTGCACGTGGACGCTTCCCGGCTCGAACGAGAGCATATAAAGGAGGCTTCGATGGAATCCCATCCATCGGCGGTGGGAAATATCGACATTTACCTGACGTAGTCCCGTTTGCAGTAGGTTTTTCCGTCTCGGACGAAGCAGGTACAGGTCTCATCGAGGAATTGATGACAATGGGCGCATTTGAGGCAGGCGGCATGCCATTCCAGGTCAGGAGCAACCCTCAGAATGTACTGGTCGTGGATTTGGGATCCACAACCCACGCACAGGCTCACGGAACGACGCCTCTCCCCTGACACAGAGAGAGAACGAAACCATCTAAATTTCAAATTTTTTCTCCTTCTTCTACCCTCACCCCAGATAGAATAGAAACGTCGTCCCAATTTCATGGACGTAAAGCCTATGTGGCTCCAGGAGAGGGAAGTTATCACGCCTCGTTCCCAGTCTAGCATGGAACGGAGATAGGTTATCTCCCTGTTGACAGGGATAGGACCATCCCCCCCCCCCCTCCCTCCTATACGCCTCATTACCCCGCTTTATCTGTTGTAACCCTATAACCCTTCTCCACGCAGGTGGAAGGAATCCGGGGAGGCGGAATTCCATCTCGGCGCGTGCTCCTACTCCAGCCATGCATCACCGAATCATAATTAGCACTGCCAATTAATCAGGCACTGCACTTCCCATCGAGCGATCCCGTCTAGTGAGATATCTGAAATGTCGATTTCTTCATTCGTCCTCGATGGGCTGGGGTTATGAAGCGATCAAAATCTAATCGAACGATTTCATAAACAATGTCCATCCCACGTGTATTTAGTGTCTGTACTCGCTTTAATTAGTGGGAATTATGCAATAAGGGCTTCCAGTACAGCTACAACATTGCATCTGCTGAAGCATAAGACAGATTTGCTTAGCATTTAAAAATGTACCTTATAATGAACGGCAAATTCCTGCAGAAAAATGCTCGTGGGTCGAAAAGTTGAAGTTGATGAATATTCCAAATTCCACAACATGCCAAAGCTATGGATTCGACGTAGCCATTAAAAGTTGAGAAATCTTTCGTTCAAATTTCCACTACGGCTCGACCCATGGACTGTCACCTGCAACGGGAGCCTACACAGTCTATAGGTTACACCTCCGTTCTAGCCGTTGCGTTTGGTTCCTCGTAGAGAAAAAGAGCTCGTTCTCTGGTGCATTCTCGAGACGCTAAATGCGAATACTGCATGGTCTTCGAGTTTCAACGAGAGATTTAAAATGGACTCACTGGGAGGCTGATCGCCCATGATCTCCTCGGTCTTGGAGGGACAAATTTTGGCCAAGGAGAGAAGAACTTGATTGGAGAGGTGAAGAGACGAGAAGTCCTCGTGGAACCTGGATTCCAGCTCCAGCTTGGCTGCTCTTTCTCGTCGGGACGAATCCCTTCGCAATCACCAAAGAACTTCACGATTTCACGAAACGGAGGAGGAGAATTCACGTTTTCCCGAATAGCCGGAGCACTCGGAGGGGCTGGATGAGGACTGCCTGCTCACTACTTGCCATGCGCCCATGGAGATCCGGAGGCTCGAGGAAGCCCTGCCCACGTCGCGTTCCGATTGGTCCAGACCGGAGAGACACGGGCCCCGCCCCTTTACGGCAGATTGGGCCCCGCGCAAGAATTATGAGGATTGTGGTATGAGTGGAAGGGAGGGGAAGAAGGAAGAAGGTGTGGCCGCCCGGGCTACGCCTTCCTCCTTCGAATCTCCTTCGCATTCGCGGCCTTCCCCTTCCTCGGCCGTGCCGAATCGCGGCCCCGACGGAGGTTCCTCCGGACCGCGAACCCTCGACGCGAGATCGCGTCCGAGAATCCCGAGGCTTCGACCGAGCGAGAACGAGCCGGACCGATCTTTCGATTCGTCCTTCCGGCAGCTACGATGAGAAAAACGAAGAGAGGCCGACCCGAAAAGCGGCAGCGAAGCGAGCCACCCTCGAGCGCGTGGCCTTTGTCTCCCACCGTCGTGTTTTGCATTTCGGAGGCATACGCTAATAGGTCCATTAAGGGTCGGCAATAGGACCTCGACGGGCGTGGGAAACGCTCCGACCCGTACGACGGGCGGATCGGCGAAGAGATCCAACGTCTGCACGGTGGCCGCTCGACCGAGAACGACGGTATGCGCAAACGCTCGGTGACGACCTTCGTTTCGCGATGCGCCTCGAGATGTTTATCGCTTTCCGAGAGCGTTCGGATCGTCACGTCTCGACGTGGCGAGGGAGAAACCTCGAGCCGTTTTGACAGCACCGAGAGAGATGAAAGAGATCGACCATCGCCTTCGGAACGCAAAGTCGTTAAATCTCGGATCGAGAGGACGAGAGGTTCCCGGTGAGGTCGGAGGAGCGAAAACACATTTTCGGATCGGTGAAAAGCATTCCCGGGCGGGGAGGAGTCCCGGTATTAGAAAGGAACAGATAAGGGTGTGTGTGTACACGAGCACGATGAGTGAGGGGTTTTTAAATCCCAGCGGCATGTCTCTCCTCTTCTCTTCGGCACGTGACTTCCATCCGCACTCGTTCCTACTCTCTTCGCGTCGTGGAGAGAATGCCACCGAACGAGGCAGATCCCCATCCGTGAGGGGGGGGAGGAGGAGGGGGGAGGGGAGGGGGGGGGGGAGGAAACGCCAGGTCACCCCGAGGATTCGTCCGCCGTCCGCAGGGACACGCGGATGAAATCCGTGGGGTTACGGATCTCTCCTCCCTCGCGAGGAAGATTTTCATCCTCGAGGGAAAGACTTCGTCTCTCTCGCGTTCCCCGCGGGATCGGTCCGTCGAGGTCGGTCGCTCCGCCCGCGTGCTCCCGCGGATCGGTCGACGACGTTCCTGCCGTCTCTCTTCCCGCGTTCGAGGAGGAGAGACGCTCGACCCGAACGATCCGCGACGGACCCGAGATGCAGGTCGTGCCGCTACCGAGACCGATGCTTCGACGAGGGAGGAAGCAGCGAACGGGGAGGTGGAGATGGATCGAACGCGCGACACGAGTTCCGAAACGTTTCCCACAGGGCACTCGAATCGACCGTCCTCCTCTTTCTCCTCTTTCTCCTCATTCTCCTCCTGCGGTACGGCACGTTAAAACGAACGAACGAGTGAATGAAGCTAATGGGAGAGCGGAAAGAGAGAGAGAGTTGAAAAGGAGCAATCGATGGGAGGGGGCAATCTTGGGAAACAATGGCGATGCCACGTGCGTGTCGCGTGGCACGGGTTCGGGGGTCCCCCCTCCCCTCCCCCCCCCCCTCCCCCCCTCTCTAATTGTCCCCTCCCGTGACGAATCCCCCCGGAAATGAGAGCCGACCGCGACTTTTCCTCACCCTTTGCCCAAGGACGGAATCGACGGACGAGGACCGGACCGTGGCCACGAGGACCGGACCCCTCGGAAAATTCCCGGAACGTCCCGATACGGTCGGATTCGGGAGACTTGGGCCTAATTGGAGGCGAGTTGTCATCCGTCGGGTGGGAAATGAAAGGAAACTCGAGGCACCTGACGGGGGGAATCGTCTCTATTGTCGTCACTTCGACTCACGGATTAACTTCCTTTTCCCCCTTCTCTCGGATTAACTTTTTTTTCCTCGATGGCTGTCAAAACGGCCTTTTCTCTCCCGAGGGCCAACGGTATTTCGGGTTTTCGGGTCCACCTGTTTACGTCTCGGAGTACCTAATTGAGTCCGACCGGAAGACGAGCGAGAGCGAACATTCCCCGCGTTCCGAGATCCATTCACGCCCGCAGCGCGTTTCGCAGCCTCGAGTATTCCGAGCCTCGAGACCTCGCGCGAAACGTTCTCGACGGACGGAAGAGGGCGAGACGAAATCTCGTCGCGAACGAACGCGATCTCGCGAAACGTGTCGCGTGGAGGCGATGGAGAAAACGAGACGAAAAACGGGAAAGGGAAGGAAAAAGCGCGGAACGAAGTCCTGGCATCGAGGAATTCTCACTCGGATGCGTCTCGGTTCTCCTCGTCCAACGATCCTCGTTTTCCTCTCGCACGGGATCGCGAATCGTCGGACGTCGAAAATCGGATGGAAAAACGAGGAACGCTCGTCTCGTTCTCGCGGTCTCCCCGCACGCGGAAGATCGGCGACGGTCGCCGATCGAGTGTCGATGGAATCCGCCGGGGGTTCCGAGAGAACGACGGCGATCGGGACTCGTTTTCGTCCGTGAAACGCGCTCGTCTCCGTCGCGGCTGCGTTCGCGAACGTGGCGATATCGTCCTCGATCGTCTCGATCCGTCGTGCGTTCCGAACGCAGCCGCGACGGTGGATCTCGGATCGCCGTCGTCGTGGGGTCGTCGGGAACGGGACGTCCGGATTCTTCCGGTTTCGAGACGGATACCTCTCCTTTCGTCTTCCGGTCGGATTTCGACGGATCCGGCGGTCTCGAGTTCCGACGGTGTCGACGGCGCGACGAAAGAACGCCGGTCGCCGAAGACGAGGACGGCTCCGTCCGGAACGACGAACCTCGGGACGGATTCGTCGGAATCGGATCGGCGCTGGAGTCTGCGAGGAGTGCGAAGCGATACCGAGGATGCGAAACGTTTTTCGGGTGCCGTTCGACTCGTCCGACTCCGGGGATTTTCCCGAGGCGAAGCCGGAACGTCCGTCTGCGAACGAGAGTCCGGAGAGCGAGCCTTTCCTCTCGCGAGCGCGATCCGACCGAACTCCGAGTCCGATCGTCCGGGGAGGAGTCCCGTGAGGAAGGGTTCCACTTCCCTCGTGACGATCGAACGGGAAGGAGTCAGACGAGGAAGGATTCCACTTCCCCCAGACGATCGAACGGGAAGGAGTCAGACGCCGAGAGGTTCCGGCTCGTCGCTTCCCCTTCGTCTCGGCGTCTCTCCTCGGTCGTCGCGCTCGTCCGACTCCGGACGGAATCTCCCGTCTCCCTTTCGCCTCCCGCGATCCCTCGCGTCGAAGCGAGCGGCACCTCCGGCGCGGAACGACCTGCCGAGCGAGGAAGGCCGGAGGAAGACGGAGGGCCGGAGACGACCATTAACATTCCCTTCGTGCCGATGGGACCTCTGACGGACGCGTGTCGATTCCCGAGGGGGGGGGAAAGAAAGGAGTCGGACAGGACCTTAATTCCCTCCGGATGCCGCCTTCTCATGAGAGGCGGAGGCGTCGAGATGCCGCCATCGTGCGGCATCCCTTTTCTCTCGTCGCGATCGTCTCGTTCTCCGTACCGGAGGGGCGAGCCGATCGGAATCGCGATCGCGTCTCGATTGCACGCCGCAGCACGTCTCGCGATGTTCTCTTTCGACGGTTTCGAGGTCGCTGCAGACCGACCTCGAGGGACGCTCGAACGCCACGTCCGCACGAGAGCGAGCTCCCTCTCCCGCGAGAGCTTCGTCGCACCGAACCCAGATTTTTCTGGATTTTTCGTCGGATCCCTCGTCGAAGGCGGGAAGAAACCCGTCTCGGGTCGAGAGGGGATCCCGAGAGACCGCGTTCCCCGACCTGCCGATTCCGATTCGCGACGAGAAGAAAACGGGTCGACGGAGGGAAATCCGCGACCGAACGACGGCCTGGCGTCCTCGAAACGACGAAACGGCGTCTCGTCGGGTCGCGATCCGTCGTCGGACTCGCGAAAGATTCCGTCTCGTCCTCCGCCGGATGGGAGGAGGACCCGATGGGACCCGATGGAATCCCATCGGTTGGGCTAAGTGGAGCGGTCACGAGGGCAGGGGAAAAAAGAGAAAAAGAAGGGAAAGGACGAATGTGACAGCTAGCTGCATTAGCTTCCCGATTCTTATCGAGGGGCTCCCCCCCCCCCCCCCCCACCCCCCCCCCCC